CAGGGCCTGATGTGAAATGGCATTCAATTAACTTCTGAGTGTAGGAGCAAGCAGAAGGATACTCCAGACCTACGGGTCTTTCTGTTTACCGATTCCTCTTCTTAACATGCATCCCCTGTGTGGCAAAGAACCATCATGACAAGCTTCATTGCTTCCAGTGCCTTCCTTGGATTTGTCCAAGCGAAACTGATAACTTTGCCTTTAATGCCTCCTCTGTGCCCTAATTATACCACCTCTAACTCTTAAGAGTACAGATTTGTTTACAGCCAAGGAGCAAAGAAACTTCTGCTGTCTGCTTACGAAAAGAGTAGGCAAAGGTGATATTCACCATCCTTAGCTGTCGTAAGGGAAGCCTGCAGAGGACGGCTTAGACAGATTGGGTTCTGTGGGGCTCTGAAGAGTACAGTTGGGTAACATGACAAGGAGATGGATTTGGTGTACTACTGTATAAGGCAGAATCTCATCTCAGGGCTGACTTGAGAACTGATGGCACTGGTGCTCAAAACTTGGCTGAATTACTAAGCGAGAAATATAGGAAGAGGAAGTCTGCAGGTGGGGGAAGGATAGAGGGGTGACTTCCAAGTTTCTTCCAAATCTGGGCAGAGAAAGAAAGTGTTGTGGTTAAGAAGTGCTTTGAGTCAAACAGTCAGGTGTGACCTTGGCTTAGCCATTTATCATCTATGTGACCTTGCACAAGCTAATTTGCCTCTCCAAGTCCTGGTTTCTTTCACTTTTGAAGGGAGGTAATGGCCCCTCTTCTTTAGGATTATTGTGAGAGTTCAATGCAATTACATATGCATGAAAAGCAGCATAATAATGTCTTGCTCAGTCGGTCAGTTGTGGTATCTGACACTACTTAATCTGTCTACTCACTTATGCATTTTTTTCTCACCTGCATACCTCCTCAGCCTGGAACCTTCCATCCCTCTCACCTACCTAATTCTAGGCATCCTTTCAGACCTCTTTCAAGTGTATTTCAGTCTTCTTATAGTACCCGGGCCAAATGCTTGTGACAGCACACTCCCCCTCTGGGTGACAACATGGCTGCTGTCTCATTCGTCTCTACCTGGCACAGAGCCTTACCCATGATAAACACGTCACTATTTCACGCGGAGCTCCAACCTCTGTTCTGCATGACATGCGTGAATAAAGACTTGACACAACTGGGAGCTTCCTAGCCTTTACTCCCCCTGACACATGGGTCTGCAATCCTCGTCTTCTGACTAGGATTTCACTCTCCTAGGTAAACATCTCCTTTAAATTATATTCCTATATCATATTTCTTAAAAGTCAATGGATTCTTTCAAACACAGACTATGAGCACAACCCCGCATGCTGCCACAGCACCCCTTCTTCACTTCCCACTTCTTTAAGTTACAGTCAGGTTCATCGAACACTGAATTATACCAAGCAGCCATCATCTCACAGCATCAGAACTTTGTGTTTCTTGAAGTTCTCTTCAAACATGGTACCTGATGTGGCTGGCATTGAATGAGCTAAAATCCAAGGCTGGTTTCACGGAGTTACAGCAACTCAGCATTTAGTTTAAGATACTAATGATGATAATTGGACCCCAAAAATCTGCATGAGGAAAAGATGAACAGAAATTGGGAGGGCTAAGTAAAATTGAGGCCAGATCTGCATAAACATGGTTCCACAGCCCAGAATGGACAACTGACTCTACTTATCACGCTGATTATTCCTCCAAGTGGTGGGAAAGTCCATTAATGAGCAGTGAGCTCCCAGAGTAAACAGATGAGCAGCCAGTAGGAGCTTGCTGTGCTGTGGCAGGAGGACACATATTGAACTCTTCTCTTTTCAAGTGAATGACAGGACACCTAAAAGTGCCTAATGCTTACATTAACAACTCTTCATGACATTTTTATCTAAAAGGAACCTTAAAAAGATGTGAAAGAGCTATTCCTATTATAACTAAGAGCTTGCCTCCTGAACCTGGTCTTCCTTTTTCGCTCCCCTTTTCACCCTCCTGTGAGACTTCTCCGGGTGGTTTTCTGATCACCAGTGTTGTCATCTTGGCTATGTAGCTGGGCTCCCAGGCTTCATGCTAAGTCTCTTGATCATAGGATGTGAGGCTCACCATCCTCAGTGAATGTCCCCAACACAGGAGTCTGAGGGAATGTCCGCCTCACTAGAATTATGTCTGCCAGGAAGATGGGGTTGGGTACTCTTACAGAGTCCTTAGCATGCAGGTAACAATTCACATTAAAAAAAAAAAAGGAACAGCCCCTGATCTTAAGATGCAGATAATAAAACACTGGCCCAAGGGACCCTATATAGAATTGGCATGCCACTCTTACCAGCTGTGTAGCCCTGGGCAAGGCACATAGCTGTTGCATTTATAAAATGAACATTATCATATATCACCTCCTGGAGACAGGACTGGGCAAGATGACCTTTTGAGCTTCTTTTACCACTAAAAGATGAAATTCTATTTTACAGCTTAATTATAAGACTGGTTTCAAGGTGAGAGAAGGCTGGGAGCATAGCCTGACACTGCCAAGGAAATGCTTGCTTACCAATCAAGTAAGTGCTTGCTTTTCAAACTCACAGTCTGCTCTCTGGCTCTCTGGGAGAGAATCACAAAGATTCGGGGCATTCACTATTTGCCCAGAGTAGCAAGTTTTGTGAGGATTAGAGGTGAGGAGTCCTAGGCAGGGGAATTTCCTTGAGACATACTGCACTTAAAACCTAGCCCTTCCAATCCCCACAAAATCAGCCCTCTACAATCCCTTCTTCAAGGGAAGTTAGCGAAGCCTTTCCTCCTTGTCCTTGTTTGATGAGCTTGGGGAAGGAGCCCAGAGGTGGTTTCTGTGTAGAAACATCACAGAGAGCTTTCCTTTGCGCACATTTCTGTGTCCTTTTCTCTTGCAAGCGTTTACTAGAAGAGCATCGCAGCAAGAAGATGCTAAGCTGACTTCCAAACAGCCAGCCCTAAGGCCAGTGGCTGCATTTTTCTCATTTTAAATCTTCCGTGTGTAAGACACTGCTTCCCCCACAGATTTTGGCTATTCTAGGTAAACATTCATGCACACACATATATAAAATCTGTATATCACATATATAGATGCTCATCAATATACACATACACCCAATATATTTTCACAGATGAACTATATAGTGGAGACTAGCAGATTGGGAAAGTAAAGATACACTGCAGTATGCATCTCTACTCCCAAATAAAAGAACTCCCAATGAAATTGTTAAATATACCTTGACACTACGATACTTGATTTTCTAACATTGCCTATCCCTATAATGCTATGATACACTTAAATAATAGAATGCTGGATTTGTGACTGTTGCTGAAGGACTATGTTATTGTAATAATACAGGGGAAATCAGTGGGTGGGGAGAATGAGGAGGGAGGAAGGGGAGGAGGGAGAAAGCAGAGGGGAGAGGAGAATCCCTGTACCTGCAAAGCTGTATCATGGAAAATAATAACTAAAAAAATATATATATATATAAAAGGCAGGGGGAAAAAAAGAAGTGTGCTCTCCCAGTAGGAGGATTAATTAACTGGTATTCTTCTCCTGCAGGGTCTGCCCTGTCCTGTCTGGAATCCTTGGGAACTGTGCTGTGAATCAGTGTGTGGAGGCCCTAGCAGAGCTTTGGGACATAAATCAACTTGCTGCCAGACATCTAGGTAAGGCTTCAGACAGCTGGCACTCATAAATCCTGCATGGTGGTGGCATCTGCCAGAAGTGCATTTACCTTGCATGGCTGCCATGAGTTACTCTGCAGCTGATTTACATATTCCGCAGGTCTGGACATCACTATGTCTTGTGGATGATTTCACTGATTGCTACAGAGTGAATGGCAGGTAGGCATCCAGCTCCTGGAGGCTGTCAAAATCTCTCTTGGAGGCAGCTGTGATCCCTAGGGCTTCTCTCTGATCAATGCATCATCCAAACTGCAGGCAGGAATTTTTTATAATGGAGAAAGCAGGGGTTCTGCCTGTCCTCAGTTACCTAAAAGGGTTTTCCAACAATGGCCTCCATTCTGATCAAGGTCTCTTTGGATCAAATTCACACTTACAAGAAACACTTTGGGTACAATTCTCCTAGAAGGTGACAGCGTGTCCACATGCCAGAGAGAGGAAATGAGAGAGTACGCTTCTGAGTGATAACTGTGGCAGTGGGACTGTGAATAGCTATGGCTTTTGACCAGTGACGGTCAATGTTCATGGGTCTGTTTACATCCAGCAACAGTAGCTGCTTCACCCTCTCTGCTCTGAGGGTGGAATCCATCCCAACTGTGATCCCAGACATCAGGGTCCCCATTTCTCATGATGGCAAATAGCGCTGCCTTTACCCTCTGCCATACCTTCCCAACTTGTTTCTCTGCCTCTGGTCTGGTCTCCCTCACTGACTGCCCTCTGTGCATTCCTTGTGAAAGACAGGTCTGATCAGTCACTTTCACATTCTAAAATGGCTAGTGGCTCTCACCACGTGGGGATAATTTCTAAATTCTTCATTCTGGATAATGGCCCTTGTGTGATTACCGGACCTGCTCTCAAGTCTCATTTATCACCGCTACCCACTCCTTTCAGCCAGAGGAAAGCTCTTTCAATTTCCTGGATGCAGTTTCTTCTCTCACCCTTAAGCTGTCCTCACACAAGTCTAGAACACTCTCCTACCCCTCCCTGAATGCCTTCGTGAACTTTATCTCAGCCTAAATGTCGTCTCATTTAGGAAACCTTTATTTTCACAGGATTGTCCCACAGGATTAGGCTTGTACAAGTCTCATGACATGGTCTTGCCTGGCTGTGCAGCTCACTAAGCTGTAGTCCCACGGGAGTAAGGGCATGAGTTTATCTTGTCTAATCCTATAGTCCTGACATTCGTGAAGTTCCTGGGCACACAGTAGGTAGTCAGAATGTAACTGAACAAGTGACTATGTGCCTGCACTCCAGATATGGCAATGCAGACTACTCCTAAGGAATCTAGGAAATAGGAGGAAACTTTCTAAATGACACTCACCATTACAAGTGCAGCGCACATTCCTGTAGAAACGTGGACACACAAAGCTGAAGCGAGCCGTGCTGTAGGTCATGAGTGCGTGGGAATCCAGGGACAAGCCCTGCTCACAGTGCTGTTCCTGACAATCAAGCCCTGAGCAGTTCTTCTCCAGGATGGCCGAGATGCGCATGACATTTTCCAGGTGTCTCCTGGCATTCGACAGCTTCTGGATCAAATAGGCTGGCTTATAGAACTCACTGCTGTGCATCTCCACTGCAAACAGCATGTCCAGCTGGTTGGTGCCCACCACAGGCTGGATGCTGATGATGCGCAGGCTGTCCTGCTTCTGGGTGAGCACTGCATTGCGCAGGGTACGTCGAAACCCATGCATGTGAAGCCCCACGAAGTCCTCAGGGGACACGTTCTCAAAGCGGATGGTGACGGTGTTCTGTAGCATCTCGTGCGCCAGCTGTTCCACGTGCACAACCACGTCGATGGGCACCTGAAAGCGGCCATCACTCACAGACACATTGAGCACGTACTTGCCACTGTCGAGGCCTCCCAGAGCAATGATCTTTCCATCGTGACTGTTGACTTTGAACAAGCTTTTCTGCTCTGATTTCAGGGCAAATGTGAGCACGTCATACATGTCTTGATCCGTGGCATGGATCTTCCCAATGACCCCACCGGGAAAGTCATCCTCCATGGTGACAATGAAAATTTCCAAGGGGATTGCTGTGGGCTTGTGGATGCTTTCCTCAATGACCCGCACGCGGACGTAGGAGTGAGAAACTTGCTGAGGCCTGCCTGCGTCTTTTGCCTGAAACAACCAAAATCAGGAAAATGTGAGGAAAAAAAATTCATTACAATAAAAAATCATTACAATAAAAAAAAATAGACAGTGGATATCTGTTTCTTTAACTGCATTTGCTTTTTCTTCTATCCCCTGTCATGATTCTCAGAAGTGCTGAGGAGGCAGATTTTATCACCTTCAATTCCCACATGTACACCTTGCTATGGGCAGTAACATGTGACAACACAATAAAGCCACTCAAGGTGAACAGGGAAGGAGGGTTTGGAGTGCCACCAGATCCAACTTGCACATAGCAGGATGCCTTGTTTTCATGTTGGATAGAAACTACAAGGGGAGACCTCATATAGTGGCACTCTCCCTTGGAAAAGGAATCTCAGCTCTCTGTTGGAATGAACCAGCTGGCACCTTTCTGCACACTGAAGAAAGGTAATACCCTACCCAAGCAGGGCATTACATCAGAGTAAGGCTTGTAATAAAAAGAAGGCACACCGAAGGGAAAAATAGGCAGCCTTTAAAAGCCCCCTTTTCTTTCCATGTTAAGAACTGACGGAACAACTACTCTGACACTAGATCTTTACTGCATACCTGCTACATGCCTGGAGGCCAGTATTAGGGTGTGGGGAGACAGGAGATGGGTGGATTCCCAGGGCTGGGTCCACAGGGCAGTTGTCTCAAAATACAGGACTGTTCAGCCTGTGCAGTCAGGTGGGAAATGCAAGGTGGAAGGCTGCAGAAGAGCAGGTGCCTGGGCATCCCAAAGACCTGAGTGTGAATCTTGGCTTTGGCACTCATTGCATGTCTGGCTTCGAATGAAGGACTGGCCTCCTCTGAGATTTAATTTTTGTATCCTTAATATGATGAAAATAGTAGCATTAACCCCACAGGGCTCTTATGTTGTAGAATTAAAAGAGTGCAAAGTACCAAAAGGCAAAGCCATAGGGAGACAGTACATGACAGAGCCTGCTATTTTATTCTCAACATCACCATATACTTGAATTAATTGGCTATCTAAACCAGAGGGGCTGAAATGACAAAATAAATGTAGAAGGTGATAAATTCTGGCAAATTACATTGAACTTGAAGTCAAACTGTGGGTGGCCTTAAAATGATTTTATCAGCCAGGCATTTCCCACTCAAATGCCAGAGGCCAGAAGCAGGACAGAAGAGATACAGCTGCTGGGTATAAGGTAAGAATAATGAGCTAGTGCCAGAGATTCACTGGAAGGTGAGCCTTGTGTACAGACCCCGGAATCTGCCTCTGGAATGTCCAGGGTCAGTATTCAGCCTTCAGGCCTGGTTTCCGAGGCCAGGGAAGTCATCCACAGATAATTTTACTTTGGGACAAACATCAGCAAACTTTTTATAAAGGCCTAGATAACAAGTATTTCTGGCTTTGCAGGCATGATCTCTAATCACTCAACTCCATTCTGACAGTATGGAAGTAGCCAGCAAGCACATGGAAATGAATGGGCAAGGCTGTGCCTGAATAATAATTTATAAAGAAAAGCTAAGGGCAGAATTTGACACAGACTACAGGGAAATGGTAGAATGATGTGAAACGGGTTTTAAGGTGACTTACGAGAGAAATTAGGCTGAAGCCAGAGGTCTGACCTAGGAGGCTCCAGTGGCAACAGGGGGGTCTGTGGCAAGTCAGTACAAGGAAATGCAATGGCAAAGGGAACACAATTGATGCACACAGGGACCTTATGAGGGAAGGAAACACAAGCCTTCATTGTGGTTTAACATACAGGACTTGGAGGAGACGGTTCTTGATGGGGATTCTGAACTCAGGATATGGTATCTGCTCTTCAACAAGCAGACAAATATCCAAAGGAGTATCCTAACTTCTGTGAGAGGGTGTTGCAAATCTCTCCTGGCATTTGAGTACCTGCCTATATTATGAAATAAAATCATTTACAAAATATTGTTTGAAGAGTGGTGGCAACTCCAGTTACATTTATACTGATAGCCATCAGTCATTAATTTCTCCAAAGAAGTAATATGCAACTCAGTTCTGTACAAATATAAAGAATTACTAACGTTTCAGACAGTCAGTGCAACCATCTATCATGAGAATAGGATGCCCTCTGTGGGCAGAAGTCGTCCCCATGTCACTGATAAGAGTCTAAATCTTTCTGTTGGCAAAGTTCAAACATGGAAATTTCTGGATATTCTCTCATTTCCATCCTCTTTGCATCACTGCCACTTCTGCCTTTTTGTCCCATTTCATTTCACACAGGCCAATAGCCTGCAGCTCTGAGATGCTGGAAAGAGACTGCTGCCAGCTGATTTGTGGGTCCCTTCTCATCCTGCAGAAGCCATGAAGTAGCTCAATGTGCTTACGACATTGATTACTATGTTCCCCAGGGAGGATGGTGGGGTGGTGCAAAGCAGCAAGTGTTGACTGATGAGTTGTGTTTAAGGGTCTGTTAGAGCCCTGTGATGCTTAGATCACAGATTTAAGCCCAGAAAACTATTCACTGGGCATATCCTATAGGAACATCCTTCCCGAACAATGATGGCTGCCTTCCTCCCTGTTCAATTTCACACACAGAAGCTACTTTTATTGGTGTGAAATTGAATTTGAGATTAAAAGGGGAACATTCCTGCATGGTAATGAATTGCATTCACTTGTTTAACAAAGAAAGGCTAACCAACGACCAGAGAAACAAGTACAGCAGACAGCATGACACACAGAATGAAGGAGGCTGTACCTGGACACACAGTATGTATTCCGGAGACTCCGTGTGCTGGAAGACCACTGCTGACCGTAGGACCCCATGAGGGTCCAACACAAACTCCTCCTCTTCATTTCCCGACAAAATAGAGAAGGAGAAGGGAGGCCCGTTATGAAAGGAATCTCTGTCTGTCACCACCAGCTGCAAGATGCTGGTGCCCACCGGCCTGTTTTCCTGTGCAAAAGAGTGTAGTAAAAAGGAAGACACAATTATATCTCTGCTCACATCTAAAAAATCCCCATCATTACTGGCAGAAAGGGCTGTGCCAGGCAACAGTTCTCAGCCTCATGAATTCTTGTGACACTGGATTCTCTATGCTTTGTGTTTCCTCTCTGTGGCTGCCTTCACACAACTGTCCCTTGAGATAACACTCTAAGACCTGGTGCTGATGGCGTTGGCAATTCCTCTTCTTCCCTCAGGTGACAAAGCCCAGAGTTTGCCTCAATACACAGTGCTCACCAGCCTTGTGGCTGTTGGGATGGCAAGGTGCTTCTTCATACTTGTCATAGTGTCATTATGCCAAGGCCTGGCATTATCACATCAAACTTCCTTGTTTTGTGGAGGATTGGGGTGGGCTTGCTGGCAGATTCACAGAAGGCATGTGTCAGGTGGGAAATGAGGATATTGTTGAAAAGTCAAGTATTTGTAGATCATTGTTCCTAAATGTTTATACAAATTTTAGATGGGATTTAAGAGGCTAAAATGTGCTTCTCAGTGAAGTTAAAACAGTTAACTTCAGAATCCAGTTTTGCTATTTCTCTAGGTAAGGGAAAGGGAGTAGAATTTGTTTCATCTCAAAAATTGATGGAAAGCAAATCCTAAGCTTCATGAGACTCTTTGGAAGCCGTGTTTCTGATAGGTGAGTTTTTAGAATCCTTCTGCCTTTTCCCAAACATGGGAACACAAAGACTCACTGTTGCCCCGCTCTGAGTGCAGGGTTATCCTTCCTTTGGAAATTCTGAGCTAAAACCTTCATAGCTTAGGTCCTGGCGTCTTTGGCGTACTCTGTTTAGACATGGGTGAGTCCAAACCCCAGCCCACGAGTCAGTTTTATTAGTTCAGCACTCCTGATGGCATCGGCGTAAGGATTAAATGGTTTGGGTCACAGAGATGGAGATGGTGATACAGTGCAGTTTGGAGGGCAGGCCCACTCAAGTTTTATGTGCTGAATTAGGCTTATGAAAACCATGTGCTGGGAAAAGAAAGCCATTCCAGGTTGGGAAAGGGGGAGGCACATATTTTCTTTGGAGGAGAAAGAGAAAAGGACCTGAATGCCCTTTTTATTTTTCTCTCTCTTTCAAGTGTTCTTTTGGTCATCACGAACTGGATACCATCCTTCTCTGGAATTAATCCTGCAACTGCCTCTGCTCAGCACAGATCTACTGTTTCACACTGGCAACATCCTCAGTGCCACACAAAACAGAAGACTTATTGATTTGTTTGCTCACTCTAGAAAGCTTGTTTCCTCCATAGCAGATGGAGTGAGAGAATGAACGTGAATATGAGAGGCCTCCGGGTCAGCACCTGAGAAAGAAGACTGTCAGAAACCACAGAGAGGCCCAGTTCCATGGAGAGGGAGGGGATCTGGCCCCTGTGTGGGGGCCAGGGCTCTCAGCTCTTTCACTCCGGGTTTCTTGTTGTGCATTTAAAAGCAGCTTATCAAGTTGATGGATGCATGTCATAAAACTGAACACTGAATAGGCAAGAGCCCATTCCGTCTTGAGGAGGGAACACCCTTATGGGCAACAGTTCCGGAGAAGGCAATCTGAGAGACACACAGTAGAGGGACACATAGCAGAGAGCAACTGGAACACAGAGCTGCTGCAAAAAAAAAGCATCAGAGAGGAAAACCAAAATGCCACGAGAGAAGGAACAGGCTTCGCTGCTTGCTGTCTAACTGCCTCCAGACTGAGTCCTGAGCAGCTCAGCAGCTTGAACATGACCATACATGTCCAGATGTGAGTCTTCACTCCATACTAAAAGGGTTCCCAAGGCCTGGGTTACTCTCATATTCCCTTCCACCCAGGTCTGAAAGTCCTTGCGGGGAGATTCTGAAGCCCAACTGTATCAGGTGAAAGCTTATTTCCCTGGAATATCTGTGCCACTCACAACGAGTATGTCACTCTCTATGTTCTTTCAAGTCCTATAGACCACAGTATTCCTGGACTGGATTTTCTGATTCTCCTAAAGCTTAGAGTTTCTCAAAATGTTGTGGAATGGAAGAAGCTCAGTACCTAGCCCTGTTTTCAGAAAGGCAAAATAAAACAAAACAGTCCCCAAGCAGGTATGCCCTCAGATGGTGGAACAGTACCAGCAGTTATTCTGCCCTGCAATCTAATTTTAAAGAGCAGGTGTATTAAAGCGCTAAACAAATTGCATACAGAAGATTAATTTTAATAAACAGCAGCTTTATCTTGATGCCCAATCTTCCTTTGAGTGATGAGATGGTTCATGTCAATCTCTTTCCCCTGCTAGAAAAGCACAAAAAATTGCAGCCTAATATGTGGAAAAAGAAGATAGAAATTAATTTCCTTCCTTCCTTCCTTCTAACTATCTTACTTTCCTTCTTCGCTGTTTTTACAAAGCACAAATTCAAATCACTCAATAGCTGGATGACCCTGTGTGAAATACTTAATGTCACCGACCTTTACCTTCTTCAAGTATAAAGTAAGCAAACCCACCATTGCTTATGAAAATGTTGTGGTGATAGAAGATGCACAGAATCTACCTAACACTGGAAAGAACCCAACCATAATAGCTCTTTATCAACGTTGATCAATCAGTGTGTTAGGAAAAATCAGCTCTTTTCATACCTGTCCTAAGGAAAGATCTGTAAGCCTTATGTGACAGTAACAATAAACCATAGTGAGTAAAGCACAGCACAGGAAGGAGCTAAATGCATTAGGACAAGTAGCTGGCAGGGAAAATTTGCTTACCTGAATCACAGCAGTGTAGTTAGCAGGTGTAAACACTGGGCTGTTGTCATTCACGTCAGAAATATCAATGTTGACAGTTGCAGTTGATGACATTGCAGGAATACCACTGTCTGCTGCCTGGACCAGCAGGGAGTATCCAGACACCTGCCAAGCACAGGGAAGTCACAGTACAGAGTGCAGCACACCCATCTCTCTGTGCTCACCCACAGAACTGCCTAGCTAAGATTAGCCAGGCTTCTCACAAAGTCTACAGTCAATGGTTTCTCAACCTTGTGCTGCTGCCATTTGGGGCCAGATAATTCTTCGCTTTTGGGGGCTGAGCTGTAAATTCTAAGATGTTTGGCAGCTTCCCTGACCTCTGTCATGTAGGGGCAGTGTCACCCTTTGCCTTTCCAAACATTGCCTAATGCCTCCTGGTGGACAATGCCATGACTCTGGGCCTTTGTCCAGCCTAAGAGTTGTCACTGTTGAGCTGCTTTATTTATCAGTATCAAGAGTTCTGGGGTTTGGAGGATACATCCTCTAGTAGAGTTCATCTGAGCATCACTAATATAACCTACTTTTCTATACTTTTGTTTAAGAAAAGAAATGTTCAGAAACTTCATTTAACTTGCAACAGACCAATTCTCAGGATTATTCTGTTTGACCTACATACCTTCTAGTAATCCTTTTTTAATCTGCTCACCTAGGGCTAAAGCTATTCATGAAACCAGGGCCCTAGAATCACAACACTGAAAGTATTTTTCTGCTGCATTGTTCTAAGAAAGATTGAAATTCAAACCATCCTGAAAGATACATATTCACCTTTTCTTCGAACTCCCCATAAATGAGAAATTGCCAGCATTTATTCTTGGTAGAAAATTCCTTTAAAGTCTGACCCAAATACTTCATACTGCATTTCAGTCCCTGCATGTTTATTCCACTTATGTGGAATGGAGAACCTAACAAGTACACTCAGGGCCTGTGTCCTGGATTCCAGTGAAGCGGTGAGTGCGGAGGCAAAGCAAGCTGGTCTAAAGGAGCTTACCCGTTCTCTGTCCAGCTTCTTCTTAACTTTCACAAGTCCCAACACAGGATCTACAGCAAATTCATTATCCCGATCTCCATTCACGATGGAAAAATGAATCTGTCCATTGGGCTGGCTGTCTATATCTTCTGCTATTAGCTTCATGGGAAACAACAACAACAAAAGAGGACATGAGAATCAGAGGTGTGAGTATGGCCCTGAGAGTTTTCTCAGTATCTGTTCACCAGTATCAATGATCATGTCCCCAGTAGCAAGGCTGATAAGATGACTGAAGAGGGGGCAAAACCAGTTTTTTCAAAAGCCTCCATTTATTACTGTTAACTCATTGATTTATAGCCTCATGCTTCTGAGGTCAGACTGCTCTCAGGCGCCGAGGCAGGAACTAAGATGGAAGGCTACGCTAACAGATAAAGATGCCTTCATGATTCCTTCCCAAATGTGCAAACAATGGGCGGGCATTCTGTATACCTCGGAAATCACATATTCGTGAAGCCACACAGCAAACAAGCTGGCCCTTTAGGTAATGTTGAGATTTATATGGATGGAAAGAGTCAGGTTGCTCTGTCATCAGCAGAGCTGTAGCCACCAGCAATGTGGTGTTTTGGAAAATGGCCCTGAGAGGAGTTGGATGAAAAGGAACTGTCCAGCATGCAGATGGTGAGGATGTGACTTCACTGTTTCCAGAACGCAATCTGGCTTAAGAAGACCTGAGTTCTCAGAACACATGGCTTATTCTCTTCCCCAAAACAGCTCCAACCAATCACTCTCAATTACACTGTTACTCTCTGTATGTGTTGATGGCACTTATCCTTAACCAACTAATAACTTTATTATAAATTGATAAATCAGTGAAGTATATATATTTATGGGGTACAGAAGGCTCTGATTTATGAGTATAAACAATTAAGTTGATTAACATATCCATTAATCAGACAGTGGTTTTATTATGAGTACGTTTTAAATCTATTCTAGCGGTTTTGAAATCAACAATACACTATTATTAACGACACTCACTATACTGCAAATTGATCTAAATAAATGTGGAAACTTATTCCTTCTAGCTACCCAATAACTTATCATCTAAGTTATTCAAATTATCATCAGAAGTTTATTCTATGGGTGTTTTGTTTCTTCAAAAAATATGGATTCCTGAGAGTAAAGTGACTATTGGTCACTTTTTTAAAAAAGGATTTATCCATTTTCACCGAAAAGCCAGATCTAGAGACAGAAGAGACAGAAAGATCTCCCATCCTCCACAATGGCCAGAGCTGAGCCCATCTGAAGCCAGGAGCCAGGAGCTTCCCCTAGGCCTCCCATGTGGGTACAGGGTCATCCTCTACTGTTTTCCCAGGCCACAAGCAGGGAGCTGGGTGGGAAGTGAAGCAGCTGAGACATGAACCTTTGCCCACATGGAATCCCAGTAGATGCAAGGCAAGGACCCCAGCCACTAAACGTCCAGGCCCTATCAGTCCCTTGTACCATACAAATTAATCCATCAGACTCATTCTTACGTAGAAGCTGAATAGGAATCACTGGAAGACAGGTACTCAACTAGCATTCTTGCAGACACAAGGACACTGCGGGGGTGCAGCATGAATACAGTCCTGGACAGATTTGGCCTGTTTCTTCTTTACTCTGTTGAGGATGATTACTCGCAGTCATTTGGCTACCTCCCAGCACCTACCAAGATGACGGAGTCCCCCACTGAAGCATCTTCACTGATGACAGCACTATAGACATCTTGGCTGAACTGGGGAGCATTGTCATTCACATCCGTGAGGTTGATGCTGACCGTGGTTGCAGCACTGAGAGCTGGGGTGCCTCCATCTTTGGCTTCCACCACAAGGTAAAACCTTTTACATAATTCATAGTCTAGGACATCAGAGACAGAAATACTCCCTGTGAAAAAAAGGGGGGGGGTGACTTTATTTGATTTGGAAAAACATTGGTCAATCATTTCGTAATTGTGGCAATATTTACAACATCATCTCCAGCCAAGGATTTTAGGTATTCTGGAATTTACTTATTTAATGCCTTACTGAAAACATTCTGGAAATCTGATTTATGTTGTCAGTTGAAGCTCAGCTACACATCAAACAAAATGTTGAAGAAATCAAGTGGGTTGTTTTTTTCCCCTGTAACTGCGTCTGTATGTCTTGAAGCAGTTGGGAAGTCTCTGGATTTATTCGCTCTCATGCATCTAGGAAACAGAGGTGGGATCAAGTTTCCTTCCTTGATAAGCATCTCTTGATTCTCACATGCACTCAGAAAGACCAAGAATGGCTGGGTGGGAGGAAAGGATATGATGGTATGGCCTCGTTTCTTTTCAGCATATACATACTATTACACTTACCTGAATTAACCACAAAGGGGCCTTGCCAAGCAAAACGGGCAAAGCTCTCGGAAGTTTCAAGGTATAGCAATACAATGGAAAAGAAAAGAAAAGATAACTGACAGCCCAGTGGCAAAACGATCCATGTTTGTAAGTCACAATTACAGAGAAGATAATATCCATTTCACCCAGTCATTTGAAATGAACCAGCAGAACACATAAAGGCTGCTGAGTGCCACTTCTAGGAGGGACTCCATGAGTACTATATTCCCTTCACCCTAACCTGTTCTGGTGATACAATCAAATCTTATATCAGGCAACTGGTGTCTGCTGACTTAAACATCATCCTCAATGCTGGGTACTTTTCTCCCATCCAAAAAAGAAATCTTTAGGGCAGGTGGAAAGCTTTCATCCACTCACAGCTTTATACAAGAAACTTTCCTAGTTGTTAAACTGTCAATTTGTTGTTAAGATGAGAAACCAAAGTCATGCCTCTATGAGTAGCCTCTTTCTTCCCATGTGCCAGCCGAAGTACTTTATTCTGTGTCCAAGAAATGTGATTCACTGCTAATTTTAAATAGTATTTAAGCACCAGAAGTGCAGCAGCTGAGTCCCCAACCAACGCTGGCACCACAAAACTTTCCCTGCTATATCACGGTGCTGGCCCCCAATACATATATTTTAATGGGCTTAGTAAACAGCTATTGCTGAAACACTAATATAAATCCTCCATCAGTATTTACACTTCCCTATACTAAAGGGTGAGACAGTATCTTCTGCATTTTTTGCATGCTGAGTATAGCAGTATTCTACATGATTTCAAGCTGTAGCATTATTGTTGAGTCAGGAATATTTGAATTCAGATCCTAGATAACCCACTTCTAATATTGGACAGTAGGCAAAGTATTTAACCACCCTGAAGCTCTATTTTTCTCATATGGCAAACGTGAGAAACATTTGATAATTTACTAGGATTCTAGGTCATTTGCAATGTTAACTGAACATTGCTGATTGATAGTTTCTTATATTTAGTGAACTTTGTAAAGGAAAATGTATCTCCTTGGCGTTTTGGCCCACAGGTGCATGCTTCTTAAGTGCCGAGGAAAAGATGTACAAAGGTTGAGAGATCTTCAAGATGGTAACTATCTTTACTATTAGGAAAATTGGTAAATAAGTGAGAATATTCACAAAGGGGTCTGTTGCACAACAGAAACCTAATCACTTCAAAAGACTGCAGAGAGTGTTTGCTCTTCATGCAATATGCAAGCTTATTTCCTGAATTACCAATTTTATCTGCCCAAAGAGCCTTATTAACTCACTGAAGAAGAGGAAGCCTGAAGGCTTTGTTTCTGTTCTTTTGGATTTTTGTTTTAGGTACCTTTCCCCTAGGTAAGGCTTCATATCCCCCAACATCCTGACAAGGGTTTGCTTAAAAATGGCAGTGTTCTACCCTAAAATGGCGAGCAGGGTCAAACACAGCACCAGACATCCGGAAAGGATGCTGGCTTCCCTGATCAGTGACTGCCCTGGCTGATGACCACAGTGGAAGTAGCAAGTGGATGTTCACTTTTAGAAGAACTTCTCAATAAATGTATACAGGATCTAAATATGCATCAACCAAATCGCACGCGCGCGCGCATACACACACGAAAATAGCAAAGTAAATTAACCCATCTCTCTATTAAGGAACGATATTGTGCCTCCAGGCCATCTCATTTAGAAATCTTGGAGCCAACTTGAGGGATAAGTATTTGCCAAGCGACCTAACAACAAGGAGCTTCAGAGAACCCAGTCGGGCAAGTCTCAAGAGCCAGAGGGTGCTCTTGGGCCTGCCATAGGACACGCTACTTTCATTTCTACTGGGAGGGAGGGGGAAGGAAGGAGAGAAAAGAAACCATTTGAAAAGACATTAAAAGTAGCATGAAAATAAATAGCATGAAGTCTTGAATTCCAAGTTCAATGTCTTTTACCCACCTGTCTTTGGGTTAATCCTAAATTTCCCTTGTTCATTCCCAGAACGAATGAGATATGTTATCTCAGCATTTGTGCCAATATCTTTGCTGGTGGCAAAAACGGCAAGGACTTGGGTGCCAGGGGATGTGTCCTCAGGCACTGTTACCAAGTAGTCCCTTCTCTCAAACACAGGTGGATTGTCATTGATGTCCAGCACGGTGATGGTGACTGTGGCGAGAGAGGACATGGACTGTCCTGGACTCTGGTCAGTGGCCCGCACAGTGATGTTGTAGGATGACTGCTGCTCTCGGTCCAACGGTTGCTCCAGGATAATGATGCCAGACATGCTATCAATGGAGAAGAACCCATCAGCGGAGTCTGCCAGGGAGTACACAACCTTCCTGTTGATGCCTGTGGAGACGACACAAGAAGGGGAACAGACAAGAATGGTCAGCATTTGACCCTGAAATATTATGGCTGTGCTGGATTCGAAGGGTCTCATAATACCCAAGATTAAAAGATAAAGAAAACAAGAAAATATTGACACCAAAAATCCAGAAATAGTTGGGTAGACTTAACATATAAGCCCTGTATGCACCTACTCAGAAAACGTTTAAGAAAAACTCACAGCTGCTGCTACATGAGTAAAGAGGCATTACAGAAATCACATCAACACATTTTTAGTTAGAATCTACCAGGTGCTCCTGTAGATTCTAGAAGTTCTAGTAATGGGAAAGAGTTAAAAATTTCTTCAAGAAATTGTTGTAACCTACTGACATTGTGCTGGTGAGGTGGAAGACACTGGGAGGCTCCAAGAGGGAGTCATGGAATGTGGCTTAGACTTTAATGGGTCCCTCCAGCTGCAGGCTGTGAACAGACTGAAGAGTAGCCAGAAGCAGGCAGCACAGGCAGCAGTCTCCTGCGGGAGTGCAGACATGCCATAATGGCAACGTAAACAGGGTGGCCGCATGGGGAGAGGTGAGCAAGGGTTGGGTTCCAGATGTATTCTGAGTACACACTTGTGACAAGTGAGGGGTCCACGATGCATTCTGAACTTGGAGGTGGTGAGAAAAAAAATGTTCTCTGATTGTAGATCTGGCATGATGTGGGATTTGAAGGTGAGAGAGTAAGAGTGAGTGAGTGAGGGATGGATGGAGGGAGGGAGGAAGGGAGGAAGGATTCCAGGAGATGTTGCAGTTCTGGCCTGAACAAAAGGGAAGGAATTATCCTTAGCTGAACTTGAGAGCTGCAGAAAAACCAGAAATTGAAGGAAAAATCAGAAGCTTTGGTTTAGACAAACTAAGTTCAAGGTGGGTGTGTAAAATTCAATGGAGGCATCAAGTAAGATGTTAGAGGAGCTGGCAGAGGAGAGCCCAAGCTGCAGCTGTAAGTTGGAGTGTCATCTACACAGAGACAGCTCACAAAGAGGGCAGCACAGAGGGAAGAAGGAAGAGTGAAAGCTGTGAGCCCATGACCTGGAGCTCTCCACCAAGGGAGGAAGGGGGCAAGACCTTCTTTAACCTACTATTTTAAGCCCCATCCGTTTGCTACCAAAATATCATTTCATCTTAACATGTACTGAAAGCTTAAACATCAGCCAGGCAATGTCCATCAGTAAACAACAAATTGCCTAATGTAGACTTGTTTCTATTCTGGTTCTGTAGAATGATTTAATTATTGTTGCTAGAGATCTTAGCACTTTAAAATGGTTAATAAAGCTCAGCCTTGCTTTAGTCATTAATATTTATAAGGTAGAAAGTCTAACAACTTTATAGGCTGAAAAAAAAAAAAACACCATTCTGATCCTAAATGCTGTTAATGAAGATATTCACTAGTCAGGGATCGTTAGCCATGACAATCATTTGTAAATGTCTACCGTGAATTATAGAAGCCCAGAACACAAGCTCTTAGAGGAGACAGCCTTAACTCTGTATGTGTTTTCTATTATAACACCTTACCAAGGGGGACAGGCACCTGGCAATAATAAAGAGTTAAACATTTCACTTCCCCAGTATGCGATTTCCCCTAAGCCTAAATTCCCAGCAAACCAATAAAATCATATATCTGGAAGGGATGACATAGATTGCATTATGTGGCTTTAACCAGAAGGTCAGGGCTGAGAGCTTGTTTTTGGTTTCATTCCAGGGAGTCCATTTTTTCCAAAGTTTCATCATTTACTTTTATTTCTGTTTCAGAACAACCACCCTGTGATATATAAACATCAACCTTTGATTTTATCGATGATGGGATTATAAAAGAAAAGGCTTTCCTTTTTGTTTGCTGCCCTTTGACATAAGGCTCCAGAGCCAGCGGTCTTAGAGATGGCTATTCCTGCAGTGAGGCAAGATTACATTCTTTAACATAAATTTCTGAGGTGAATGCACGCAGGACTGCAGAGGCAACCAAGCTTGCACCTGGAAAACAACAGGTCTGCCTGGGTGTCTGAACAGGCTCTGTGCTCGGGAAGCTGCCCTGACTGATTTGATGGTCTCCAGATACCTCTTGGAGTCACAGGAGTGCCTTTATGGAAGCACAGCAGCAATTGACACAAATACACTACCTAGGTTTTCAAATCACACACATTCCCTTGGGGTTCAATCTCCACCTCCACCATATGGTATATTGCACTTGCCAACAAGAAAAGCAGGCAGGAAAAGCACATGGAGCCTTCCTTCTGAGCATGTGCTAGAAACCAGGAAATCCATTCCACTGAAGCCTAAACCAAGGGCTTATGAACTTACCTGGTGCCACCAGCATTTTTAGGCAAGCATGGGGGACAATAAGCAAAATCCATTTGCACCTGGGCTCCTTTGGCTTGTAAGCCAAAGAACAATGAGAGAGGAAGGTGATTCAGACTCTCTGGATCTAAAGCCATAGTACTCTAGGCAACTGCATTAGGAGACACAAGAGTTGGATTTGCGCACAGTTGCTCTGTGCAGCAGCAAGGTGATAAAAGGAAGGTTCCATCAATGCCTATGTGTGCTTTCTTCCTTGGATTAGGTAGTAGACGTCTAATGAAAACTGTCATCAGATTTGCAGCTTTCTCTCCCAGCCCTGTTCACAGGCGCTCAACTGGGCCCTGAATCTCTAAACTGGAGATTCCCTGTTCCCTAAGCCGCAGGCTCAGCAGGTCAGCCCCATTGCTGGAGTGCTGCTGCATTTACCAGGCTGACATTAATCAGCCACACAAAGACCATGGCCCTCCTGTGGGCAGATTATGTTAAAGTCGGTGATGCCTTTTCTGCTTTATTCTAGCAAACAACCATCCCTCCCCCCATGCTCCCCTTCCCAACAAGTTGCTGACCCATGTCCCCCCCCTCCCCATACATATTGCTTGTGACAGTATCTTGGGAATTCACACTCGGAGGGGCTGGGAGATTTATTATTCCCCCTAGTCTCTGTTAGCACTCAGACTGATATGGAGCCAACATCAAGAAAAGGAGTGTGTGCAGGGGGGATCCAGGGGTGGTGGTGGTGATGGTGTTATACGTGCTTGTGTTGGGATGGGGGGGAAGGGGAAGCCAAGCCAAAGAACTCTCTAAATAGCATCACTTGTAACTGGCTAGCTCTCAAGAAAAGAGCAGAATGTATTTTTGGAACACATACACAATTCAAGTTAGACACAACTGCAGTGCATTTCAATAGTTTTTAGAAATGCAATCAGAAACATAGATGCTCATTTGGAGACAGAGGTTTGGTGTAATGCTTGGGTCTCTGCTGCATTACTGGGAAATGGGGTGCTGTCCTTATTAAATGGATACAGACAATGTGACTACAGTGGGAGCTTCCTATCCAACAGAGTTGATAAATGCCATCCCTCAGATTGTCATCTCTTTTGCTACATGCCCAGCAGAAAGGATGAACCCAATCAAAGATCTGCTTGCTAATTGGGCTAATGCTCCTACTACATGTCACAATTGTCCTATCAAGCTCTAACACGAATCCATCACTTTGTGTTTTTAAGGATGTAATTCGCTTCTCCAATTTGAGCCTGATTTAATGAATGTGGAGTTACTCGGTGCCTTAAATGCCAAAATGCCAGACCACCGAGAGGAGGATGACTATCATTGCAAGTGAAATTTTTTGCCTGTTAACTGAGGCAAATGGAGCAGGCAGGCCTTTAGAGGATTAAAATCAAGTACAAAGAGAATGCTTAAAATCTCTGTTCAAACGAAGTAATGGGTGGTGGCATTTTGTGGCATGGGGTTGAAAGAAAGAGCGAGCACATAAAAATCCCTAGTAGGAAAGGCTATGAAATCCTGGGAGGGGCTGCCAAGCACATCTGTATTCTCTCCTTTGGAAGTATCTGAGCAGAGCTGAGGTTTCTTTCCATGCCTAAGTGAGAGAATCTATACATTGACCTTTCTGGGTATGGAGCTACACAAAAAAGTTTAGGTTATAAAAAAACCTTTACTAATATAAAGAGATTTAAAGTATTTCATAGGTACAATTCTAATATAAGCACACTTCTTCCCTCAACCCACTCACTCCTTCCTTCATTTTTTTCTTAATATTTTCAAAAACTTTAAGATGAAAGCAGTGTGGGGTCCAGTGCAGTGGCTTAGCAGCTAAAGTCCTCACCTTTAACGCACCACTAGGATCCCGTATATGCACCAGTTCTAATCCTGGCTGCTCCATTTCCCATTCAGCTCCCTGCCTGTGGTCTGGGAAAGCAGCCGAGAATGGCCTAATGCCTTGGGATCCTGTACCTGTGTGGGAGACCCATAAGAGCTCCTGGTTCCTAATCGGCGCAGCTCCTTCCATTGCAGTCACTTGAGGCAGAGAATCATCGACAAAAGATCTTCCTCTCTGTCTCTCCTCCTCTCTCTATATATCTGACTTTGCAATAAAAATAAATAAATCTAAGAAAAAAAATGAAAGAGTGTGGTCTAGTCCTGCAAGAGAAGAACTCCTGCGTCTAGCCTGTGTCCTGCTCCGACTGTGTAAGTCAATCTGGGAAAGTCGCTTAGTTTTCACGAGTCTTTGCTGCAAGAACTGCAGAATCTTATGCAGTTGAGATTTTTCTTCTATGTAATTCTAAGTCACGCAAATGAAGACAGTTTAGCTTTTATTCCCAATTGGGCTTGTCACCTCAACTGCTCTTGGAGCTGCTTGACCAGCGTCAACAAAGCAAAAACCCACATTAAACCAGATTATGTAAAGATCTGTCAGATTCTTCTGGATGGGAAAGAAGTGTAACACAACAACTTCAGATCACTTTGTTAAACGTTCAGAATTTACACTTGTAGCTGTTTGTTATCAGGACACTTACACCTAAGTGCGAGCTAATCCCCAGGGCTAACATTGTCCCCAAGCACCTAACCCAGTGTCAGCATAACTTGGCTTTATAAGTGAGGCTATTAGAGGTGTTAGGGTCTGCACAGAAAGCAAAGCACTAGAGCCATAGAGGG